AATAAACTTAAATCTAATAATAATTAATAGGAATCACTCCCAAATTCATCTACTTCTGACTTATCTCATTATGTAAAAAAAGGTAATAATTTATAAAAGGTAATGAACACATTAGTTATCAATAGTTTCATTGGAATATAGACAAATTTCCGTAATGCAAATATTTGCAGAATTTGGGTATGTTCACATCTAATAAAAAATATTAACACTTGACATGTCCACAACTCAACATAAATTAATTAAAATTTAATGAACATAAGTAGTAACAAAGTGTAACATAATAACCTAACACATGAAATAACTTTGGTTCTAATCAATATTTTACCACTTTTTTTTATATGTATACATCAATACATAATACGTATGTATATCATTTATAAATGCTCGTGCTACAAGTACCTACAGTTTAACATTTTTTAATACTTTGTCTAATTTTGAAGGTAAAAATGTTTATTTAAGTGAAATAGTTTATTTTTTACAATCATTTTTTTTTTAAATATCAATATTTTTAAGGAATAAATAAATAAAATATGTTTCTTAACTTATTTATTATTCATGGCATTTTAATAACTTTTGTCGTATGTTTTTACTATTATCAATTTTTAATTTTTATTTGTCAGGTCATTCTGTACACTTTTTATATTTACTACTGTAGATTACAATTTATTTTGAGGGCTATGAATGTTGTATTACTGTACAACTATTTAGAACTTAATAATTTTACTCTTGGATATTTTTTGAAAATGTTTATTAAAATACTGATCCATAAATCTTATCTTAATAGATGGAAAGTTTACTCATATATAGGTTAGAATGTTTTTGTGAGTTGCAATAGACGAAAAAGGTTTACTTTATCAGTGTGACAAATTATTTCTGAAATATTAAGTTTCTGGTGTTTAATTTAAAATATCGAAAAACAATGTTGAAAATCAACTGTCCTAATTGGAATTTTTTAATACCTAAATAGTTCTTAAATTTGTTAACGGGACACTTTATGTCATCTATGTAGGTACAATTTAAATATTTTAGGTAACTTTTCGTTAAGTGATTTTTGTATAAAATATGATTTTGTACTAAACCACAGTGTAAATCCTACAATGCTACATGAACATAAAATAATTATTTACAGAATTGTCATTCATTAAAAGCAAGTCCCAAAGGCTTAATAATGAGAACGGTCACTATGTATCTGAATTTGAGAATGAGAAAAAACTGGTAGGTATGTCATGTTATACATTTCTTCAAATATAGCATAGAAGTTTCATATTAGAAAAATATTAAATTATACATTTTAAATGTAAAAAAATCTTATGAGTCTTAGTTATTTTATTACAATTCAATAACTTAACCTAATTACTTTAAATATACAACCAAAGTTTCATCTGCATAATTTACAAAAGTGGTAGTCCAACTTGATATTTCATGTTTCATAAAGCCTACTGTAAAAAGAGGGGTAATATAATTATTAGATTTAATTATTTTATTGTTAAAAATATTCGTACTTACTTATCTATTGTGTAGTCTGTTCAAAAATGTACAACATAAGTATTTATTATTCCATACTTATTTAAATGTACACAGAACATGTATCAGAAAATATAAATTTTCATTTGCTGATCCAATTGGGAAATATAGTCACAATATACGCAAATTCGACTGTTATTATTGATTGATTTACTCGCATTTAAAGAGTTTTGGAGAAACAACATTACTTCCTTAATAAAAAAAAAAAATTTCAATTTTTTTATTTTTTAGGTAAATATATTTTTAAGTAGGTACATAGCTCATTAATTTTGTAGTTTTTTCACCAAAGAATAACATGTATTATAGTTTATTAGTACCCATAAATAGTTTGTTGATGTTATTGTCAAAATGATTTAAATTGCAGACATCCTATCGTAAAACCACCGAAAAAAATAACTATTATGTATACTTACGTCTCCAATAGTGTGGTAACTTCGTTTAACTAATTTTGTTTTTGTAAGTGATGCCATGATGGTGATTAATTTCTTAGAAATGTATATCAATTTACTTTGTGAAACATTTCTTGAAGCCACCTGGAAATTATTTTGCAAATATTCTGTAGCTAAGCCACATATGGATGTGGACATGATACATTATTCTGTATGTGACTGATTTTAACATTTGTGTCACTCTTGCATTGTAAGATACTGTTCAACTTGATTTTGTTTTGGTGAGTAATACATAAGTAATCCCATGACAAATTTGTCATGAATAATCCATAATGCATTCACAGTTTCAAGCACTCCAGTGTTTGGACACATGAAACAAATTCTCAAATTTGATGGACGTTAAAATAATGAATGGTTAATTGGTGGGTACATTGATAACACAATAACGAGAATTTTTGAATAGTAATAACAAGCTTACTAAAATAAATACAGTTATTAATAATATAATTATTTATTTATTTGAACTCAAATGATTCAACTATACTGATTGCTAATACTGACGAAAATCAGAGGAAAAAATAATAAAACTTAAAAGTACCTACTATAACACTTTATAAGCCATTTTGATAACAGGTATTTTGTGATTTGTCATCAAAGATATTAGTAAATGATAACTGAAAACATATGAAAACTCGATAAACAAAATAAACCGCTAATAGACAATAGTAACAGTGATGAGTGACGATTGTTGATTATTTTGGGATGATAAAGGAAAAAAATTATTCATATTTCCAAAAACTAAATAAATTGTAGAAAATTAACGGCAACACTTTTATAAATATTTGAACCATCAAAATTTTTCTAAAAATCGGCTTTATAAATTGGCTATTTTGAATTCTTCAAATACATTTTTTATAAAATTTAAAATTTTTTATTTTCAGAATTAAAAAAGTAATTTTTTTTTTTATATAAAACATGTAGCGCAAGCGTCTACAAATAAAACAGAAAACAAAAAAAAAAAAATATCGAATACCAAAAAAGTTATTCCATATGTCAGTACTGTTTGAGACACTCTGTATATATATTATATATAGTATTTACCTAACCTATATTATGAGCGTTGTACATGAATTACGTAATCCCATTACAATATAGCTTTATAATACTACTTTGAACGTTATATCATGTAGGTGTATGACTTTAGATAGAAATTCTATCTAAAACCGTGCTTACAAACTTAAAGATATTTCATCAGATCAGATTATATAAAATAAAAACCATTAGAATAAAAGTAGTGGTTTAAGACGGTTTCTCAACTCTCACTTTTAGTTACTATCATATAAGCTGTTTTCTTTTTTGTTAAGTTATGTTTAAATAAAATAAATAATACGTTATAATTATGCGACTGTATGACCACACTCCACGATATAGAAAACTGCTGTATCAATGTATCATAGATTTACATAGATAAGATAAAACATCGGGCTTATCAGCCATGGATAAAGTGTTTAAATTTTTTTGAGGTTTTAAGGGTTCCATATTATCACGAACTAAGATATATTATCTTAGTTCATGCTTATTATTGATAATTATTGTAACTTAACCTCAAAATCTGACTGCACTAGTACACACTGTCTGGTGTACAGTGTACACTGGCCGATAACGTGAATTTCAACGGTGTGGTCAATTATGTGATTATTAAATCAGTGTTCACGTGTAGTGTGTACTAGTTAGGGATGGCAATTTTTTTTTGAACATCGATGTTTCGATGTATATTTTACTAAACATCGATGGTGACAATATCGACAATTTAAAAAAACATCGAAGTCAAGAACTCGATGTATTTGGAAAAACATCGATATTTAAAAAAAAAAAAAAAAAAACATACTTTTTATAGGATAAAATTAATTATTATATATTATAATAATATTATTAATTATACACATTTAAAATTTAAATATACATAAGCAACTCTTTATTTTATTTATTGGAAAAATTTAAAAAAAAAACACATAAAAAATTAAATTTAAATTATATAGAAAAGTAGGTAGGTACCTATTAATTATTATACATTTATGGCCCAAATTGATCGTCCAGATTGTTTAAAAAAATTAATTTCGATGCCGATTTCCCACATAATCGGTTTCTTGTTTTTGATATGGTGTTACTAGCACAAGAAAAAAGCCTTTCACTTGGGACAGACGTACAGACACCAGATAAATATTTTAAGGCTAAATTATATATAAATGGATACAGGGGTTTTAATTCTTCCCAAGAAATCAATGGATCAGTTTTTAATGATGATACAGGTGTAGATAAATACATGGTTAATTCAGGTCCTAAATGTTTTTGATTTCCTATATTAGTTTTATCAACATACTTTTTTAAAGATTTTTGGGCCAATTGTTTATGATGTCCCCATAAGTCTATAGTACCGGATTCTGAAGTTGAGACAGAGTCAGTTGAATGGTAATCTTCTTCTGCTGGTAAACTTACCATACCATTTATTGAACTATTTATAAACCTTAGATGTTTTGAAAGTGCAACAGAATCTTTAAAATGTATGTTTTTGAATCTAGGATCAAGTATAGTTGAAACAGACAATAAATAATTTAGCTCAATTAATTCAAACCGTTTTTTCATCTCGACAGTTCGACATCTCGAGCAGTTTTTAACTCTACTCCAATTCTGGAAGTTGGTAACACGGTATTCAATTTATCGTTGATGCAACTTATAATTTAAATAACAAATTATTCCATGATATTATTTATGACATTATCAAATATCAATGACGGTTATCACTAATTATCAGTTTTAAAATCTATAAATTACAATAATTTCATGGCATGAATGAAATATAATTATAATTTCTTTCATGATTGCCCCCAACAGTTTCTATCTCACTCACACAATGTACATTTCAGATTACTAAAAATAAATACTAACTTGAAAAACTGGATATTTTATTAAGTGACCATTCCAGAGTAGGCTGATTGGAGAAATTTCCAGTAACACTTGAGGAGGTACTTAAACTCGAAGACAGTGTGTTAGTTGAGAGAGAAGCGTCAAAAGGTAATACATTAGAACTATCATTATTTTCGGCTTCAGTTGAGGTTCCAGGAGTAAAATGTGAACTCATGGCCTGTTAAAATAGTTATGGTTAATATATTTATATATAATCTATAACATAATTCAATATAAAAATTATAAAATTTATAAAAAAATCAATATAAATTTAAATTTAAATAGAAAAATTTTATAACTTGACTAAAATATATCATAATGTATAAATAAGAACAATTATATTTTTTATCTCTTTTAAATCTTATAGTTAATACACTTGATATCTTATTGAATAAAGATAAAAAGGTGAATTTTATTTTGTAAAAATTATCGTTTAAAATGTACTTACTTTTTCTTTTTTATTTAGAGATTTCAAATTTGTATCATGTGGTAGTTTATGCATCTTATTTAAATGTCCCATCAAATTTGAAGTGTTGCCAGAAGTTCGTAGTATTTTACCACAGACTTTACACATTGCACAGCCATTAGTTTTTTTTTCAAAATATTTCCAAACTTCCGATTTAGTTTTAGACATTATATTATATTATATATTAATTAATTATTAATCAGTTCAATTACAATAATTAAAAACACACTCTCGCGGTAAATTTTACTGTATTATTGTTTATTGAAATTTGAAGTCATTAAGAAATAAGAGCACAGTCACAGAGCACGGACGTACGGTTCGTGTGTTAATGATTATGAATTATGAGTACAAATGAGTAAAGCATGTATAAAATAATATAAAAATATATTATATTAGACGATATTACCGGTATTCACCGGTCAGTGGGAATTTTTAGTGTCATTTTAGTTTGTTCCTATAATTAGGTATTATAGAAATTTTCATCAATCAATCAGATTTCTCTTGGGATAAGTAATATTATTATGAATTATGATCAAAGTCCAGTCATTCTGACTTGCTACAAATTCGCTAGATTAAACCGGTGTGAAAAATAATGCACCGGGATGTGTTTACATGTTTCATATCACACGGATAATTTTAAACCGGTCTAGCGAATTTCTAGATGTTTCCCTAATCATGTTTATATTCAATCATAAATTATACCTAAAATATTATAAATAATTATTATAATTATATAATAATTTTTTAGTATTAAATCATATGTTGACCAATGTTTTGGAGTTGCTGCTGGACAACACTCAAAGTTACCGGATTGCTACTTAAGAATTGACGTAGCTCATGTTATCAAAATATTTTGCCGCAATAAATATCTACAAGGCAAAAAATAACAAAAATTTAAAATCATTTTACGTAAGAGGAATGCGACTTCTAATAACATCAACTACTATGGTTCAATTTAAGGAAGTACTAATAGCATTGCTAAATGTTATGTTGTCAGAGACAGATGGCTGGACAGACAGTTTCGCCGAAACCCCATCAGAAAGAAGTAGACAATTGTTATTGGGATTGATAAAAGGTAATTATCGTATTATAGGTATAAAATAAAATATTGTATTTATTAACTACCTAGATAGATGTATTTTATAAAACTAACAATATAAATTGTATAGGTTTGTAATATTGAAACATATAAATGATTTTATAAATTCTGAGTGCAGCGATGAATGTATGGTTTGACAAATCATGTGATTGTTTTTTTTTATATTGTAGACTTTTTTCGTTGTATAATTAAATCGTAAATAAATCTTATATTGGAACTTATAAGGAAGGAACCTTGTATTCAATTTTCAATTTTTTTTTGACTGAGCGTAAAATTTGTTATCGACAATAAATAAAAACTAATGAAAATGGAAAATGTCTTATGCCCAAAAATAGCACAAACGGACTCAAAATATTTTATCTAATATACATATTGTGAATTAGGTAATTTTTAAATTTTATTTTTTTCTAGGGTGATAAACTAAGCGTTAGAAACAAATAGTGTAGAAAAATAAATTTTGGTGTTTTTTCACGTATTGTTAAAAAATTAATGAGAAAATCGAAAAATAACCTACCAAAAAAACCATCTTGATCCAATTTTCTAAAATATAAGATACTATATTAATTGTTGAAATCGAAGCATTCCTTCTGGAAGAAATTTTGTTTACGGGATAATAAAAAAAAGATTAACATCATTGTAAAACCACTAGCTTCCTCGCTCCACTCAAAATCTAAAATTGTTAGGTATCATTGGTTACCAAAAGATAGGCCGGCTTAGTTTGGATCGTCTTCGATTTTTTTAAATTTTGTTTATCTATAAATTTACATACAAGATTGTTTATTTGGTTAGGTTGGTAGTATTATTTTAGTTGTATACAAATATTAAAGGCACTTAGACAGGATTTTTTTTAAAAGCTTTTACAGTTAAAATGTTTAAAAAAAATCATAAAAATTAGGTAATTATTTTGTAGTAAAAAATGTAACCTTTACCTGTAATCAACAAATAACTGATCATTTTAGTATAACAGATATGGAAATGGAATGTTTTTTTGAAATAACAACCTACTTATTATTATTGATAGATGATTAATAAAATATAAAATATCTTGGACAGACACACCATCATCGATCGGCATATATTTTCGTTTACAAATGTTCAAATCATTTAGTTTTAATTTTAAATTAATATTACAATTTTTACATATTAAAGGTATTGAAACTACTGAAAATTTTGAAGAAGAAGATGATCATGCAGATTTTCCTGATCTTGATGATAACTGCGATGACCAAGATTATAATGAAGATTTTGTAGATGGTAATTCATCAAACAATATTGATAATTTCTTAAAAGACATATTATCATTTTGTAATGGAAATTCTAAAGTAAAAGGTGATAGATTGTCAGCGTACTATCTACCTGGCTTGTCAAACGATATTATGAGAATGTCTAAATATTTTCCTTTGTGGACTAACGTCATGCAAATATTTTTCAATTCCCCTTATAAAATCGCCACATCAGCTTCAGTTGAAAGTGATTTTTCGGAATTAAAAAATAAAATCTTACGGTTTGATACAAAACCTATGACTGTAGATCGATTTATTGCTAAACATTTACAGAGCATTGATAGCAATACCAAACTATTTAGAAGTTCACAACTAAAACAAATTAATAAAACTTCAACTGACAGTCAGAATTCGGGAAAATACTTTAAACCAAACGTTGAAAATGAATTTGAAAACCTTGAAGCAAATAAAGAATATTGTAATGGAAATGAAGATGAGCAGGAAGATGTTAGTAGTTGTCATTCGAATATGTCCCTTGAATTGACAGAGACCACCGAAAATTGGCGCGGTCTTGGTAAAAACCAAGATATACAACCTTTAGAAAAAATAAAACGGAAAAAGGTTACGAAGTACATGAAAAGCACTCCTGAAATGTTGAGTAAAAAAAATGATGAGCAGGAAGATGTAAGTAGTTGTCATTCGAATATGTCTCTTGAATCGGCAGAGACCAGCGAAAATTGGCGCGGCCTTGGTACAAACCAAGATATGCAACCTTTAGAAAAAAAAAAAAGAAAACGTATTACGAAGTACATGGAAAGCACTCCAGAAATTGAAAAAATGTTGAATAAAAAAAATACTCGTTCCCACTTAAATACGCTTCTTTTAAATGGGAATACAACTTCTTGTTTACGTGTATCTCGAAAAATATATATGGTTCATAACACTTGTCCTTTTGATTCGATTGCGGCGATGATATCTACTGTTACATGCGGCCCTTCAGGGATCCAAAAGCTGGTGTACTTGATAAATAATAATAGTCAATTAGAATGGTAATCAAATGTATTATATTAAACCAGACAAAACAAGCAGAATAATAGTGTTGATTGTAGTGAAATTGTGGCTCGTTCCGAAGTTGATAATCTCCGTGTAAGTCGTGTGTGATGGCTGGGCGGCTAAGCGAGTCGTGTGGTGTTCTCGTCTCTGGATACATCTAACTCAGGCTGTCTCGCTGTCCCCTATATATATGGTGGCGGCGTCCTTTGAAAGTGAGCGGCGCGTGTTCAGTCGCCCTTGATATGGACCTCACGATTATGAAAGTGGTATTCGTAGTCGAAAACACTTTTGGGTGTGGTCGCATTCCTGGTTGTTATTATGAGCAAAATATATGGTATTGCGTAATCCCATTACACCTCCCTACCAAAAAAAAGATTGTTAACCTTTAAGGGTTAAGAATCTTTAACATCGTTAATTAATAGTTTACAATGGCTGAATTACATTGTTTACATTGACATTTTAAATTTGTATGCAGTTAACAATTTGATTATAGTATTACATTTGATTACAATAATGTGAGCATTTTACAATTTTTTAATGTCATCATTATTATTATTATTGTTTTTTTTTTCTTTTATTCATATTACAATTTTAATTGTGGTTAGTAAAATAAATTAATACATGATTTAATTAAACAAATAGTGTTAATAAAAATGATTAATAATCTTTAATAAAATAATATAGGTACCTGAAATTATAACATTATAAGCGTTACGTAAGTATACAATTTAAATATTTCCCCTTTTTATATAATAATAATATTTATCTTCCACCTATATACTAATTTATGTGAATAATTGTTAAATTTGTCACAGACATATGCAACTATAGATTTACT